AAAACTAGAACCTTGAAACATGTTAACTCCATTTATCCCCTTTCATCCCTCTGACTTACTATTCTCGTGCATTATAATTCTACATGTTTACTCTTTCTAGGCTCTTCATTCCTTCCTGCCTTTGCATCTTTCTATTTTGGTTCATTTTTCCTCTGCCTGAAAACTCTTTAGTCTTTCTTATATTGTATATCTGTTGGTTACAAATACTGTTTATGATTTTCTGAAAACATCTCATTTAACTTTTACTTTTGTTATATGTAGAATTATATGTTTTCAGTTTTGTTTCGTTTTGGTTTTTTGCCATCACATTGAAGTGTCATTTCTTACTGGGTTTTTTCCTGTTTCTGTTGAGATGTCCGCAGTCTCTTTTTAATACGGCTAATTTTACAATTTTATTTTTGTTTCTTAGTAGTTTTCATTTACTCTTATTTGAGATTCACTGAGCTCTGTGAATGTGACTTCATATTTTTCATGTTTTTAAAAAATTCCACAGTACCAATCTCTGCCTTTTTATTGGAAGAATTTAATCCATGTACGGTTAAAGTCATTTCTGACAATGAAAGACTTCTGCCATTTGCTGTTTTTTTCTGATTTTGGGGGGTTTTGTCCTTCATTTCTTCTGTTCCTGTTTTGTTTAGTTGATTTTTTTGTAGTATACTGTTTTGATTTACTTCTCATTTCCTTTTGTGTATGTATTTTTAGATAGTTTGTTAGTGATTACCATGGAGATTAAAATTAACATCCTATGTTTATAACAATCTAGTTTGAATTGATACCAGCTTTGGCCCAATACCATATGAAAACTCTGCTCCTGTACAGCTCCATTTTCACCCTAAAGTTGCTTTTGTCACAGATTACATCTTTATACATTGTGTGCCCAGTAACATAGATTTATAATTACTGTTTATGCATTTGTCATAAATTCATTTATGAAATAAAAACTGGTGTTACAAACCCCAAAATACAAAATGCTAGCTTTTGTATTTATATATATATATATATATATATATATATATGTATATGTATATGTATATGTATACACATATATATAGTTACCTTTACCAGCAATCTTTATTTTGTCATACAGCTTCAAGTTACTGTCTAGGTTCTTTTCATTTCAACCTGAAGGATTTCATTTAGCATTTCCTGTAGAGTATGATTTGTGATAATGAACTCTCAGCTTTTGTTTATCTGGAATGTCTTAATTTCTCGTTCATTTTTGAAGGATAGATTTGCCAGTTTTATAGTTCTTGGCTGGTGGGGAGTTTTTTCCCGCATTATAACACTTTAAATATGTTTTCCTGATACCGGGGGAGAGGGTCTGGTGAGGCCCAGTAGCTGGCCTCAACCCACCTCATTTTCTACCAGGTTTTTAACTCCACTCACAGGAGAGAATTCAAGAGCAGAGCCACCGTAGAAATTGTATATTTTGGATGTTACTTCTTTACTAGATATGTTTGCAAATATTTTCTCCCAGTCTGTGGCTTTTCTTTTCATTTTTGTAAAAGCGTCTTTTGCAGAGCAAGTTATGCATTAGAGAAATTTTCTTTTCATTTTTGTAAAAGCATCTTTTGCTGAGCAAATATGCACCGTATTAAATTAGTTTTAATACAGAGAATAAGAAATACAGACTTCACAGACAAAATCTGGGCTGGCTCAAGAGTGAACACAGCCTGCTAAAGGCAAGTTTGATACAAAAACTAAGAAATACATACCTCAGGTGAAGTGTGGGCTGGCTTCAGGTTAGTGAGCAAACCCTGCCTTCCTCCTGGATTCAATTTTTGTAGTTTGGCTGTCTATACATATTCATGCTATCTGATGAATATTCAACTAAGGGGGTGGTTCCCAGTTATGTAACATAGTCTTGAACATGCTTAGTTGATCTCTTTGGAGCATGCTCATTGCTCAAATTCCATCACATGTACCAAATACACTTAGAAATATTCTAGGTGCTCTCTAGGGGAGTGATTTGAGACCCAGGGGAGTAGTCTGGAAACCCAGTCCCAGGGGGACTGAGCACTTCCTGTATCAATGCCACTGCATTCTGGTTTCCATGATGTCTTTAAAATTCACTGTTTTTATTTGTTTCTTGACAGTTTGATTATAATGTACCTCAGTGAATTTCTGAGTTTTTCTCACTTGGAGTTTGTTGAACTTCTTGGATGTAAGATTCATGTCTTTCATAAAATTTAGGAAATTTCTGGCCATCATTAGTTTGAATAATCTTTCTGCCCCTTTCTTTTCTTTGTGGTATTCCTGTAGTATGTATGATAGTCCATTTGAAGGTATCCCACAAGTCCCTTAGGCTCTATTCACTTTTCTTCTTTTTCTTTTCTGTTCTGCTCCTTATTATTTGGATGTTCTACTCCTCATTATCTGGATTACTTCAGTTGTTCTGTCTTCCAGTTCAAGATTCTTTCTGCTGCCTGTTCAAATGGGCTGTTGAATCCTCTAGTGAACTTTTTATTTCAGTCATTTTACTTTTCAGCTCTAGAGTTTCTACTTGGTTTCTTTTTAAAATTTCTAACTCAGTTCATACATTGTTTTTCTTATTTCCTCTAGTTCTTTTTCCATGATTTCTTTACCTTTTTGAGCATAGTTAAGACAGTTTATTTAAACTTTGTCTAGTAAGTCCAGTGTCTGGGCTTCCTCAGGGATTTTTTCCTTTAAGTTGGGCCACATGTTCTTGTTTCTTTATATACCTTATAATTTTTTGTTGAAAATTGGACATTTGAATATTATAATGTGGTAATTCTGGAAATCATATTCTTCCTCTTCCCCAGGGTTTCCTGTTTTAATTTTTTTTTTTTTTTTGGTGACTATTCAATACGAGGATCAAACCCTTGACCTTGGTGTTATCAGCACCATGCTCTAACCAACGGAGCTAACTGGCCAGCCTCTGTTTTAATTTTTGAAGGCTGCAATTGTCTATTTAGTCACCTTTCCTTACTATTCTCGTAGATACTGGTGTATTTGTTGTATGTTGTCACTTAATTGTTCATGTCTAGCATATGTGTATAAGTGATTTCAGAGTTGTTAACCCATGGAATCTCGGTACCTTCCAGTATTTGGTGATTATAAATTAAGCTGCATGAAACATTCTTGTGCAGATTTTTATGTGGACATAAGTGTTCAAATCAATTGGGCAAATACTTAGGGTGTGAAATTGGTAGATTGTATGGCAAGAGTGTTTAACTTTGTAAGAAACTGCTAAACTGTCTTCCAGAGGTGCTGTGTCATTTTATGTTCCCACCAACTGTGAAGCAGAATTTCTATTGTACATCTGAACCTGAAATTGGTATTGTCATTGTTTTGGATTTAACCATTCTAATAAGTGTGTCATGGTGTCTCATTTTTGTTTCCCTAAAGACAAATAATGTTGAGTGCCCATTTGTTTATTTGCTGTCTATATATCTTTGGTGACATGTCTATTCAGATCTTTTACCCATTTTTCAGGTGGGTCATTTGTTTTCTCACTATTGAGTTTTAAGTGTTCTTTTGTATATTTTGGATGTTACTTCTTTACTAGATATGTTTGCAAATATTTTCTCCCAGTCTGTGGCTTTTCTTTTAATTTTTGTAAAAGCGTCTTTTGCAGAGCAAGTTATGCATTCAGTACTATAAATTTCTCTCTATGTGCTACTTTCTCTGCATCCCACAAGTTTTGACAAGTGGAATTTTCGTTTTTATTATATTTAAAATATTTAAAAATTTCTTTTCACACTTCTTTCACATACAGGTTATTTATAAGTATGTTGATTAGCTTTCAAGTATTTGAGGGATTTTCTAGCTATCTCCTGCATATTGATTCTGAGAACATATTTAGTATAATATCTATTGCTTTAAGTTTGTTAAGTGTGTTTTATGGCCCAGCATATGGTCTGTGTTGGTGAATGTTCCATGTGAGCTTGGATAGAATAATAGAATATGTATTTTATTGTTTTGGATGGAGTATTCTGTAAGTCAGTTAGATCAATTTGATTGATAGTGCTATTTAGGTCAACTATAAACTTACTGATTTTCTGCCTGCATGATCTAGCAATACTGATAAAGGGGTATTGAAATCTCCAACTGTGATGTAGATTTGTCAGTTTCTCCTTTCAGTTCTATCAGTTTTTGCCTTATGTATTTTAATGGTCCTTTTTAAGATATGTACATGTTTCAGATTGTGTCTTCTTTCTCTAATATGATTCTGAACCCTTCTAATGAGCTCTTGATTTCAGATATTGCATTCTTCAACTCTAGAATGTCCATTTTACATATGTATGTATGTGTGTTTGTCTATATATGTATCATAGTTCCCCAAGATGATCCTCAGGTTCAATGATCCCCTAGGATGACTCAGCATATAATCATGCTTATGGCTTCAATTTATCACAGTAAAAAGATACAAAGCAAAATCATCAAGATTCTGAGTCTTCTCCCCATTGAGTCTCACAACACATTTAAGTTCTCTAGCAATGACATGTGACAACACAAGTTAAATGTGTACCAGGGAAGCTCAGTAGACACTTGGTACCCAGAGTTTTTATCATGGGCTGGTCACATAGGTACTCTCTGCCTTGCATGTAGCAAAATTGTAGACTCCCAGAAGTAATGCCACATATTCAGCGTGAACCATATTGTTTACTCAAACAGTGCAGGCTCAGTGAGCCATTCTTATCTGGGAATGATAAGGTGAAAAACCTCCTGAAATCCAAGTTCCCAGATGCCAGCCAGGATGATCCCTTGTAGCAGGCCTTTCAAAGGATAGCAGTCTCAGATATGCCCTATTAATTCTTTTTCTGTACGACACATATAATGTACAGATATATCTGTTGAACTTCTTCTATCTTCTTATTTATTTTGTTCATATTTTCCTCTGTTTTATTGAACATATTATAATTCATTTTGAAGTTCTTGTTTGTTAATTTCAGACTCTGGGTCACCTCTGGATCTGCTTTTGTCTTTTTTTTTTTCTTGGTTCCTGTTTCTTCATATACCATGAAATTTTTTACTAGGTGCCAAAATTGTGTTTAAAAACCAAAAAATTGGGAGAGGCTCTAGAAGATGATCTCTTCAAGCAGAGAGGATTCATCCTTTTCTCTGGTGGGCATGTATACATTATACTTTATGGTGATCACTTTAGTAAATTATAGGCTGAGCTTGGTTGGGGCCTGCACCATATTCATTTCAATCCCATTATTTATTTTCACAATTGAAAGTTTTACTTCCTCGATGAAAGTTAACTTGATAATGTAAGCGATCTTCCTCTGTAACTCCAGTCTACTTTGTATACACTGCTAGCTCCTGCATTGTCCAATTTAATAAATGTTAATATGTGTGTCCCCATATTTGGTCATAAGCACTTTGAGACCAGGAACTATGTTTGTTTTCATCAGTAGTATTCACAGCAACTAATTCAATTGGAGGTCCTTAGTGGAAACTCAATTCATACAAGATATTTTGTATTCTACCTAGTATAGCACAGAAGGAGGTATTCTATGTGTCATTTTTTGGTAAACTCTAAAGAAATTAGTTTTTTAAAGTCTTTTCTATATCATCTAGTTTTGACTACCTCACATAGAAAGGAATGTACTGTTATAGGAACAAGTGTCATTCAAGGATGTATGTGTGGACTTCACCCAGGAAGAGTGGTATCTGCTGGACCCTGCTCAGAAGACACTGTACAGAGATGTGATCCTGGAAAATTACAGTAACCTTATCTCAGTAGGTAAGGATTTTTTTCTATTTGGCTGCCAATACATACATTTCGTAGTTGCTGAATCATGTAGTCTTCTGATTTGAAGCTTGGGATTCAAGGCTCTAAGGTGACTGATCCCTTTTGGTCATCATAAAGAATGTGTTCTTACCTCTTCATGGATTGGTTCACTTGGGCACCTTCTCTGAGCAGCTCCTGAAGCTGTATCTTTCTTCCCCATCGTTTTTTCAGAGTCCCTGAAGCCAAGCTGCAGTCCTGTGTTATTTTCTCTTAACAGGGAATTGCATTACTAAGCCAGAAGTGATCTTCAAGATAGAGCAAGGAGAAGAGCCCTGGATATTAGAAAAGGGCTTCTCAAGCCAGTGCCATCCAGGTGAGTTAGTGAGTTTGCAGACAGATGAATGCCAGAGAAAATTAGGTCTTAAGTCATTTGGTTTTGGGTTTGTCACCTTTGAAATATTTTTCAGAAATTTCTATTTTTAGCCCCAGACCTTTGGAAATGACCAAAGACTTTGGCCCATGTCTCAGTTACCTTAATCACTCCTCCATATGTCACTCTCACTCATAAATGCTTTTCTTTTTTTTCTTTGATATTTTAGAGTGATTTATCCATATCCATAATCCAAACCCAGTTGGCTTCACCTTAAATTTTTTTTTTCTTGGTTAGTTTCTCTTTATCTTTTAAAATTGTTCATCCTCCCTCTATTGTTTTTGAACACCTTTTGTTACCTGGCATGTATTCATGCAATACTTTCCTATATTCATTTAATAAATATATAATGAACACTCATTATGACCCAGTTATCTTTTAAGTAATTAACAGAATAATGTCCCTGGTATCATAGAGGGTATATTACAACAAGGAACAAAAACATTCATACTGTCCTTGACCATTTTTGTGTTGTTATAGTAGAATACACAATTCTGGGGCAGTTGTATCTGGCGAGGGTCTCTGGCTGCTTCCACTCATGACAGAAAATGGAAAGGCAGCTGATTGTGCAATGAGATTGCATGGCGAGAGGAAACAAGAGAGAGAAACCAAGGGAGGCAGACTCTTTAACAACCTGCTCTTGTGGGAACTAATCCATTCTTGCAAGAGCTCACTCTTTAGGGAGAGCATTGATCTATTCATGAGGGATCTGCCCCCCTGGCACGAACACCCCCCACTAGGGCCCACCTCCCAGTATTGCCACATTGGGAATCAAATTTTAACACGAATTTTGGTGGGGACAAACATATCCAAACTATAGGGCATGCACAAACGCATGCACAAGCACACTATTTTGCATGGTTGAAGTACTGTGAGGAGTTCACATGGGCAAGAAGGATGGAGAATGATGTTATATGCTATTCGGCAAAGAGGTCAGAGAAAACCTTTTTGGTGAGGTCCACACTAGAGTTGCCACGTAAACTGAGAATGTGAGCTCTGTGGATGCAGAGTATTCCAGGTGGAGGGAATATCAGGTGCTGAATCTTTCAGGCATTTTCTTAGAGTGTTTGAACAATGGCAAGGAGATCAGTGTGGCTGGAAGCTAGTGGACATGGGGGAGGCTGATAGGACATGATGTCATAAGTAGTAGCATGGGCCGTGGTAGATATATTAATTTATTTTTGACTGATGTGAGAAACCCTTAATTTGTTTTGAGTAAATGTAGGTCAGATTAAGTTATCAGATTAACTGATTTACAGTTAAAAGGATCTCTCTGGCTTCTGTGTTGTCAACACGTTGTGGGTAGTTGATGGGTGCTCGTGAGCAAGGAATGGATACTGGTTAGGAGACCATTGTATATTGCAGAAGAGAGAGAGTGATTATGACTATTTGGAGGTGCTGCGAAGTGGTAGGTTTGTACAAATACCTTGAAAATGGGAATAAGAGGATTTGCCGTTGGATTGAATAAAGATCATGAGAGAGAGAGAAGTCAAGCATGACTCCAATAGTTGTTTCAAGTGAGTGGATAAATTAGGGTGCCGTTTACTGAGATAGAAAAAATTAGGCAGGAGACAATATAGGGAGATATTATAGGTTTAATTTTGGACTCGAAAAGTTGGAGATGACTGTTAGAATCTAGTCTCTCTATTGACTAGGAGATTGGATATACGTAAGCATGGAGTACATGGTTGAGGCCAGAACCAGAAGTGTCCATCTGAAAGGCATCAACTTTAGATGTGATAAAGGCATGGGGCTAGATGAGATCTTCTAGAGCAGAAGTCTACAGGCTTTTTTGTGAAAGACTGCATAGAGAATATTTCAGGCTTAGGGGCCACATGTGTGCTCAGTGGCTGTTCTTATTGTTCCCCCTACTTCTCTGCTTTCTTCTCTCACTTCCTCCTCCCTTCTCTCTACTGACTTCTTTTTCCCTTAAAAAATGTAACATTAATTGTAAAGAGCTTTATAAAATTCACGTTTAAAAAACAATAAAGTCAGTTCAAACCAAAAAAAAAAAAAAAGTAAAAGAAACATTCTTAGCTCGAGGGTCATCACCTAGTAGTCATACTTTGCAAGCCCCTTTTCTAGAATGTGGTTGTATGTAGGTGAGAGTAGTCCTGAGACAATACCACTTTTAGAAAGCATTAAATTCATCCATTAGAGGAGATTGAGGAGGAACAATCTGAGCTGCACGAAAACCAGTCTTTTTCCCAGGAGTTGAATAAGGTATAATCTACCATCCTACTGCTACCTTAAATGGCAACCATGGGTCACTCTGCTAAACCTGTTACCATCTCTTACTGGTCTCTTTATACTCACTATATAGGATCCGAACCCGCAGCAGGAGCGCTGCTGCGCTCCCAGCACCGCACTCTCCCAAGTGCGCCACGGGCTCGGCCCCATAGATTTTTTTTAAAACATGTGATTAACATTATTACATTGAGTAGCAACAGTGAAATATAGCCAAGAGTTGTAAAGTTTACTAAAAAACTCCCTTACTGAACTCATCCCATAGACTGTGAATTTTCTGCTCTTTGAATGAACAACTCTCAGAAACTCCATCCTCTATTCATCATGTCTTGAGTTTATTTCACCTCTTGCATGCTTTTCCTACACCATTAAAAAAAAATTATTCTTTGTCACGAAATTAAAGAAAAAACTAGATCCTGGTCTATAGGACTGTTCTTTTGAAGCTTAAGAAGTTGGTGTTCCAGGGCCAGCCCGGTGGCGCACTGCTACAGTGTGCCGCTTGAGAGTGCGGTGGCGCTCCCACCGAGGGTTCGGATCCCACGTACAGACCGGCCGCTCACTGGCTGAGCGAGGTGTGGGCGCAACACCGAGGGTTGCGATCCCGTTGCCGGTCCCAGTCCGGTACGGGCATGACACTGAGGGTTGCGATCCGTTGCTGGTCACGAAAAAAGACAAAAAAAAAAAGAAGGAAAAGAAGTTGGTGTTCCAGAGCTTTAATTTGGTGTTGATGCCTAGAATAGAAAAGAAACATTTACTCTGGTGGGAATCTTAGCCCAGTTTCCACCAAATGTAATTCATCTTCTGAAACCTCTTGTCTATTAATCTTCACTGTCATTTTATTCAGCTTTCATTGTCTCTGTTGGACTCACTCCCTTCTCTCCAAGTTTCCCTGTTTCTGAATCAGCCAGTCTAGTTCCCTGTGTTTTGAATTTTGTTCCATCTTTTTCTGTCCAGTTTTGCAGTTATGCTTTATAAAGTACTGTCACTGCCAGTCTCCTTGTTTCCACCACAGCGCTCACTCCCTTCTCTCCAAGTTTCCCTGTTTCTGAATCAGCCAGTCTAGTTCCCTGTGTTTTTAATTTTGTTCCATCTTTTTCTGTCCAGTTTTGCAGTTATGCTTTATAAAGTACTGTCACTGCCAGTCTCCTTGTTTCCACCACAGCATATTCTGTGTTTTCCACTCAAACTAGGAGGTAAAGGAAATATGTGTATCCATTCACACCAGGAGACTGAACCTAGAACAGAAGACTTGACTGTGTAATAGGAAGTTTGTGTAAAAGTACAATTCCATCAGATGTGTATTAAGATTCATAAGATGTGGGTATTTTTTTCATTTCTAGAAAGGAAATGGAAAGTTGATGATCTGTTAGAGAGCAGCCAGGAGAATCAAGATGAACATTTTTGGCAGCTTTTATTCAACAACAACAAGACAGTAAATGTAGAAAGTGGCAGCAGAGTAAGGAAAACTTTCAATCTGGTCACAGACCCTGTTTCTTCAAGAAATTTTCCCTATAAAATATGTGACTCATGTGAAATGAATTTGGCAAATATTTCAGGCTTAATTATTAGTAAAAAGAACTATTCTGGAAAGAAACCTGGTGAGTTTAATGTATATGAGAAATTGCTCCTTGACATTAGGCGTGAGAAAATTCCTATTGGAGAGAAATCTTACAAATATGGTCAAAAAAGGAATATTCTTAGTCATTACCAGGATCTTACTCAGCCAATTTTTGACCAACCTGTTGAGTATAATGAAGATGGACATGACTTCCATAAGGAGGCAGCCTTTTTTACAAATAAGAGATCTCAGATAGGAGAGACACTCTCTAAATATAATGAATGTGGAGGAACCTTCATTGAAAGTTTAAAGCCAAGTGTACCTCAAAGAACTCATTTGGAAATGGAGCCATATGAATGCAGCATTTGTGGAAAGTCCTTCTATATGGGTTTAAAATTTGGACATCAGAGAGCTTTTACAGGGGATGGTCCTTACGAATATAATGAATATGGGGAAATCTGTGACAATTCGACTTTCATTATCCATCAGGGAGCTTACTCAAGAAAGATTCCCCATGCATATAAAGTGAGTGACAAAACTTGGGAAAAATCAACTCTCTTTAAGCATCAGATAGCACACATGGGGGAAAAACCCTATGAGTACAATGAAAATGGGAATAATTTCAGCAAGAAGTCACATGTCACCCAACTTCGGAGAGCTCACCCAGGAGAAAAGACGTTTGTATGTGGTGAATGTGGGAAAACCTTCTGGGAGAAGTCAAACCTCACTCAACATCAAAGGACACACACAGGAGAGAAGCCCTATGAGTGTACTGAATGTGGAAAAGCCTTTTGCCAGAAACCACACCTTACCAACCATCAGCGAACACATACAGGAGAAAAGCCGTATGAATGTAAGCAATGTGGAAAAACATTCTGTGTGAAGTCAAACCTCACTGAACATCAGAGAACACACACAGGGGAGAAACCTTATGAATGTAATGCATGTGGAAAATCCTTCTGCCATAGGTCAGCCCTAACTGTCCATCAGAGAACGCACACAGGGGAAAAGCCTTTTATATGCAATGAATGTGGAAAATCCTTCTGTGTGAAGTCAAACCTCATTGTACATCAGAGAACTCACACAGGGGAGAAACCCTATAAATGTAATGAATGTGGGAAAACCTTCTGTGAAAAGTCAGCTCTCACTAAACATCAGAGAACTCACACAGGGGAGAAACCATACGAGTGTACTGCATGTGGGAAGACCTTTAGTCAGAGATCAGTACTTACTAAACATCAGAGAATTCACACAAGGGTGAAAGCTCTTTCAACATCCTGAATGTTCAGAAGCCTTCATACACCTGTCAGATTTGTTGTACAGTTTGAAAAAGTGAGATTAGAGAAAGCCAAAGAATGCCAGAAATTACTAGAAAATGGTAGCTTTCAAGAAAAATTAAAACTTTTCATTAGATAATCTGTACTGAGGGGGAATCTGTTCATTTAAGTAATGCAGTAAAAATCTTTAGTACTTATTTAGTGTCATATTCCAGATGTGATACCAAAATTTTATTGTATGTATAGTGGACAATATTCATGTATACCATATTCACAGTGAGATCTGAAGCTTAAAAAATGTTGAATGGCAGCACCGTTAAACATATATGTGAGGTGTCCCTGATGTTTGTAGATCTTACGTGAGAATGTTAATATAACAGGAATTTGGGGTATGCTTGATTTGTATATTGGAGCCCAACATGGTTGTGAGGAGAACCCTTAGTTTAGTAATTATGGTATAAATATTTTCCACACTAAATACCACCAGTGTCTTTATATCTTGAAATAATTTTATATGTGTGTTGACGTATGTGTGTGCATGTGTATATATGTATATGTGTAAATATATTTGTGCACACATACTTACACACATAGTGATATGTTAGTATCACTTTGTATGACTTAAAAGTGCTGCTGATTGTTAAATTTTCAAGAATTTTGTGAGCCAGTTGCTAAACACAGTCATTATTTAAAACTATGAACTTACAATTAAATTATATTAAAAACAAAGGTAATAAATACTCCGCTAATTATTTTGCTGTATTTCACTATTATCTTTGTTGCTGAGGTTTTTATATTGTTGAATCTGTATGGTGAAAATACTACACGAGTATAATCGTGAGCTGCTGCACATCTCTGGCCAACTGTACGTTCAGTGCCATCATGTTGGTAGCTTGGACTTAGTGGCAGTTACACCTTGGAAATTGTCATGATCTACAAATCAGGGTTTTTACTCTCTCAGAGAACCTGTTATCAAATATATACCAGCACATCACTATGGATATATGAAAATACATTTGACAAATTTGAAGTACAAATCACATACTCTTTTTCTATTTCCTGACATTAATAAATGGCTGTGGCCATTGTTGCTGAACTGCCTCTTCCATAAAGAAGCCAAAAAATGTTTTTTGTGAGGTTTTTAACTACCTCTGAATCAGTCCTGTTCTAAATAGTATTGGAATCTCTTTATAGCATGGCCCGTATATGTTTTAAGATAATATTTCACAAAGAACCACATCACCTATCTTTCCTCTGACTGTTTGCTGGCATGTATGTGTGAGTACAGCCTTTATTACTGAACTAGCACTTCAATAAAGAAGTCAAGTAGTATTTTTCTGAGGTTTATCAGCTACCTCTGGGTCAGTCAGTAATGTAAATGCTGTTAGTAAGAATGATATTTACATAAATTTTGCAAATGTTAACATAAGGTATAAGCAGAATTGCTGCACTCTAAAAATAAAATGTGGTGGTATGTAACGAAATGCCCTTTTCATTGTCTTGGTATTTCATTTTGTTACCTACTTAGGCATAAGATATGTAGCCCTAGTTCTGTGTAACCGAGGAACTATGTATTTGTATTTAGTATTATAGAATATCATATTGTATCTCTGCCTCCTTTGTCCTGTTTCCTGTGCTTCCTTAGAACAGATTGGTAAGCAGTTCTAAGAGACACTGCCAACGCAACAGCTATTCCCTACTTCTTCCTTGCTGACCCAAATTTTGTCTTTTTATCCTTCCTTCGTCCAGATGATTTAGGGGATGACTCCAAATTAGTCAAAGGTAATTATGGAAATTCCATTCTAGTGATTTTGTTGAGATGAATGTGAGCAGTGAGATGTTTGGGAAATACTCTGCAGTACTTCTGGGAAAGATCTCTGTGACAAAATACTGTCACGACATGAGAAGATGTGAGAGACATGAGAAGAGAGTGCCCTGTTCAGCTGGACTTTATCGTGTCTGTATGTGATACTGGCTTACAGTTTGTGGCCCTGAAGGGCAGTAGCCTAAAGATGTATGAGGTGGGAAAAGCCAGTTCAGAGGTGACGTCACTGAGCTGTTCTATGCTGTACCTGCTCTCTACTGGGACTTTGTATTACCTGTGATAGTAATTGTTTCTTGTTTATTCTTAGGGCTGTGTGATACTTAGAGCTGATGGAATTCCAGCTGACACATAGGAACATGTACCTATGTGTTAATGTTCTATATGGTGATTTGAGGGAGGAATTATTTCTTTTTACAAGTTGAAATAGGGGTGGCTGTTTTTGTCAGCATGGTTCTTTTTGATGGAAAACAGAGTTCTCCAAATAAAAAAGGTTTTAGTGAAGACTTGTTACATTGGTGTGGGCCAGAAACAAGTGGTGTTGAAATGCCTGCGGAGTGGCATCATCAGGAAGCTATTACTGTTCCGCAAGGGGCAAGGATGAAAACTGTTACCAGAGCCCAGTGAGAACTGCCCTTGTTGAGGAGGGACCACCTTGTAGGAGATACTGTCACTACCAAAATCATGGCACCAAATTGCTGGTGCCTCCTTTTGGAAAACCCAACCAGATGCATTTGCAGGTGAGCCCAGGTGGGCACAGGGAAGGATGGGGAGAGTCTGGGTGGGGAAAATGAAGAATAAGCAGCACGCACAGTGTTTTTCATTTTTGTAAATTCCTATGTAAAAGGCTCAGTATTAGAAATAAAGTTATTCTACTAGTAGAAAGCTAAACCTTTGTGCTTTGTTGTGGTTTTGTATCAGCATAAGTAAATTTCCTTTGGAACCAAGCACTGTGGCAGATACATCTCTCCTTTGATGTGTATGAAGCAAACATTGTGTTAAAATGCATTATTCATACTCATCTCTCTGTGGTATTACTATTATATGTAGTGTGAGGTAAGCAGCTCAATGTTCTTTTAAATAAATTGCCAGTTGTCCTTGCACTTTTTGGTTAATTCACACTTTTTCTTGTTGATTTGATATGGCATTTTTACTGTGTACTTAAATATAATATGTTGCGACTATTGTTTTTGTCTGCTCAATTCAACTTTTCTATGTTCTTCTGGTAATATAACCTGTCCTTGTGATTACAGGGTTGGCATTTAGCCCAGATGCCAACCTGGCCCTACATTTGTGTTGATCCATGAATGATTATTTGTTCCGATATAGGCTAGTGAGAACCCATCCTAGAATATTTTTGTTGGGAGGTCATAATAGATCAGATGGTATGTATCCTTGTTGCTGCCAGCAGTTAGAAAATACATTTGTGCTGCGATGTCTTGAAAGTCAGCCCTTGACACGAGAAAGAAAAGTACATTTGCAAAGGAATTGATGGTGTAAGTGTTATAAAGAAAACTAAAAATAGGAAAAGTTGTCGGAGGGATGGTTTGATGTTAGGGTAGAGAGGAAAGAACTCACTGAGAAGGCTGCATTGCAGGAGGAGCATGTGGATACCGGGAGGAAGAGTGTGTGAGTGTGTGTCTAATACAAGGGTACTTCAAAAAGTTTGTGGAAAAATAGAATTGAAGGATAACATGAATCTTTCCATGAACTTTTTGAAGTACCCTCATACAAATGCATGTGTAACCAACAAGTTTATGTAAGATTCTGTTTCATGAAACAACACTCACCCTAATTACCTGTAATGTCCTTTATTTTCTTTTGTGTTGTGCTACATTCTATTAAAAGAAATACCTGTTCCCATATACTAAACTGATGGCACAACCAAACCAAGTGGGTCATCCCCCAGTGCACTAGTGTGTAAAACCAGGGTGGGAACTGCTGGGTCATAGGTTTGTGCTTTCTGAAATGGCTAAGTAATCACTCCTAGTGCCTGGAAATTGTTTTCAGATTAAGTCCCACGAGCCTGTTTTTAGAATTGGTCCTATTTTCTGTCTTGAACTTGTCCTCCCCTTGTCTGGAGCGCCCCATCCGGGAAGGGTATAGCCATAGCTTCTGGGAAGGTTCAGCCCATGGGTATCCTTGATGCTCTCAACCACTGCCCTGCCTGCTGCCCCCAGAGACTGCCGCTGTGACTGCCCTGAACGCCTCCCCTGCATCTCTCATTCTGAACAGACTTGCCTGTTCCAATTCCTGTATTTCCACTGAATCTTCATCTGCCACTCAGTGACTGAACACTACACAATCTCAACCTCCTCTTTATCTGAGGGATTCCACCTCCCTTTTCCCAGCCTGCCCCTTCTCTGAGACCTTGCATCCCCAGGCTTCTCTTATACAGAGAGGAACTGATGTCTAAGACGCTACTCTTTAAGAGCAAAGTCCCCTCAGATACTTCAGGAGGTGAGAAGTGATGACTAATATGCTCACCCATGTCTGGAGTCCATACTTAGGGGTGGTCAGTCCTCTCTGCGTTTCCTCATCTACAAAATGAGGGTAGTTGTCCCACCTGCAAGCTTGCTTCTGGTAACACAGAGGCCAAAAATTCTTACTTTACCAATCTCCCAAAGGAAGGCCAAGTTCTTCTCTCAGAGATTGAGAGAAGTTTGGAAGTCCTTGAATTCATGCCCCTAATGAAAGCATGTCCTGCTCTTGTGGGTTTCTGTTCATATCCCTTAAAACAGAAAAAGACCCTGGAGAAGCTTGGCAGCCATGACTGGTGCCATGAAGTAGTGGGACTTTTTTTTAGCCTTCCCAGGGCTGGGTGCTCCTATGCTGATTTCCATATCAGCTGCCCACCCTGGGAGAATAAATGTTCTTTGGAATTTGATAGATGAGTTTTCACCCCACCTCACCCCCATATGTTCATTCCCGTAAAGTAACTTGGACTCTATACGTACCCACAGAGGATTTATAACATATTAGAGTTTTATGGGGACTTGAGTTTTACAACTCAGAAATATGATCAAATATTAATAAAGTCCTATATTACATGCAGAAGTATAGGTGATAAAATTTCTAAATCAATTTTTGCTGCCTGAAATCAGATCGTCTTAAAGCTGGCATGGCCAGGAGTTTGCAAGCTGTGTTGTAATTGTTACTAAAGAGAAATAAACCATTTTTAATGTCCTGTGCATGAACTGCTATTATATTTATGAGTTTTAGAGGCTTTGTTTCAGATGACTTGGTGATTTGTACAGATATTCTGTGTTATTACAGTTAAAAACATTTTAAAACTTCAGTAAAAATGTTAACCTAGAGTTTTCAAACTGGTTATGTGAAGTGATAGTGATGAAAAACACATCTGGACATCAGTAACTTCTAAGAACAGTCAGATACTGTGGGAGGCTGTGAAGAACTTTTAACTGTGAAGAACCATGCAGTTAGTTTAGTAGGGAATGATGAGAAAATAACACTCAGGAAAAAAAAATTAAAATCATTGATGTGACTTTAATATACCACAGAAGTGAGAGGCTTACACTCTCCGAAAATGTGTTCTTTCATGAGAAAATTAGTGGGAAAGAATAATACTGCTCTCTTTTACCTGTAGGTAAGTTGTGATTTTATCTGGGGTATTTGGTTTGGTTTGACTTAATGTCAGTGTTCTTTTAGGATACACACGCACTTACCCAATGATAGGATAATATATATATTCCAAATTCCACTTTTCATTTCACAATATGTGATTAATATTTTTCCATGTTAGTTTTTCTGCCCTCACCTGGTCATCTTTAATAACTGCTCAGAATTCCATTTCATGGATAAATACCATCCATTTTACCTACACCCTGTCAATGCTCACTTAGATGGTTTCCTGTATTTTTACAATTACAAACAGCACTGTGGAGGAACACCTTTGATTGTACATCTTTCTACATTTGTCCAAGTTTTCTTAAAATTCACTTGTAAAAGTGTACTTTCTGGATTAAAAGGTAAGTTCATTTTTAGTTCTGATGAAATTGACTCCAGAAAGTCTGTACGAATTTCACATCCTATTCAAAGTTCGGACAGACATGTGGGTTCTTCCGATCCACTACTGCAGTAGATGCTATTCTTAAACATTTTAATTTCTTAACTTTCTAGAGACATTGAGCTACTTAAAAATATTTGATTACTTGTTTTCAGTTTGTTTCTTAAAATATTGGCTCACATAATTAGCCTAATTTGAATTAAGATTATTGCAATGTTTTCTTGGTTTATGTGCTCTATAAGAACCTAACCTTCTTAGAGCAACAATAAGAATATAAATAATTGGTCTTTTCATTATGTTATTCCATGTTAACATGATAGCCTTTCTCATTTTTTGGAGTATACTCTAAAGGTTGTGGAAGGATTTCTTTTTGAAGTTTTCAAACTTCATAGCTTTAAACTTTTAAATAATTTTTGTTTCTGCAAGTGATGTCATGCATTCTCAACATTAAAATATGAACTTATTTTTAAACACTTATTACAGCTCAAATTTTATATTTCAGTTAGGAATCCATGTGAAATGTATGCGTTATAATATGTGAGATGAACATATACACTTAACATGCTATCTAGAGAAATAACTAGTTACCCCAACACTTCGTTAAATAGGACCATTTTTCTCCACTTCTTTGAAATGCCACTGTGATGGTTAATTTTATGTGTTCACTTGGCTGGGCCATGGGGTGCTCAGATGTTTGGTCAAACATTATTCTGAGTGTTTCTGTAAGGGGTTTTTGCCTGAAATTAACATTTAAATTGGAAGACTTAGTAAAAGCAGATAGAGTGGGTGGGCCTCATCCAATTGGTTGAAGGCCTGAATAGGACAAAACAGCCAACCCTCCTTTGAGTAAAAAAGAGTTCCCACTGATGGCCTTGAGACTGGGGTTTCAGCTGTTTCCTGCCTCTGGACTTGAATCGAAATGCTGGTTCTTCCTGGGTCTCCAAGCCTGCTGGCTTTCAGACTGGAACACCGCCATCACTTCTCCTGGATCTCTAGCTTGCTGACTCAACCTGCAGATCTTGAGACTTGCCAGCCTCCATAATCATGTGAATCAGTTTTTTATAATAAATTTCTTTCTGTATGCATATGCACTTTACTGGTTCTGTTTCTCTGGAGAACCCTTACTAACACAGTCACCATTGTCACACTACATTCTTACATGACTTTAAGCATTTACATTTTTTTTCAGACTCAGAACTGAAATATTTAGATTACCAACAGAATCAAAAATTTGAAGATACAAAACTTTATTGAGAATTTATTTGGAATGTTGTGCCATAATAAGCTTTACTTTTTTGTGCAGGAAAATGATTTGTACCTCGTACTATTCATGTCTTTTAAACTGTTATTCAGTAAAGTTCTGTAGTTTCCTTCACAGAGTCTGAACATTTATTTCTAGGTATTTTTTCTTTGAATTGGTAAGCATCTTGACATATCATTATGAATATAATGGAGGCATTTTATATTATTAAGATATATTTACCAATAAAGATCTTCATTGTATCCTATTTAGTGAGGAAAACCCTGATAGTCATGGATATGACACTTCTTAATTGTTGGTTTTTGTTTTCAGCCTTATTTAAATGTCTTATTGATGTTCAAAAATGAAATTGATATAGTTTGTGATAGCTTTCTGTCTGTATAGACATAGGCTGTTATTGAAGACCACTTCTAAACCATGTCTTCTAGGGTTGTGAAAGTGCAAGGGCTCCAAGGAGAAGAGATTCTTTGGGACAGCACCAACTTATTACAGTGTTGGGAATGATCCCTAAAGGGGGGCTGCAGAGGCTAATGGGACACTGAATTCAGAAGTGTGATGAATTGGGCCTCTGATGATGCTGGGAGAAGAATGTGCTGGACCCTTGCTCTGCATATGTTTTTGTTTCCAGCCTCCTCGGGGAGCTGATTCCTGAGGCTCCAGCCTTTATCCTTTGGAGACCTAGTTCTGGACAGAGAGTTGAAAGGAAAGTTTATGCACTTTGGGTTTGGAATTGGTTAGAGGGGACTTGTGTGGAATTTGGCTGTCAGAGAGAAAAGGAAGTGAGATTAGATAATGGTGAGTGGGGTCCAAAATTTTTCCAAAGGCTGCTTCCTTGGTTCCGTGATGTGTGTGTTTTCAAGCCTGCCCTGGACTTGGTGAAGGTCGTTGAGGATAGGCT